AATTTTTATAATGTTTAATGATTAAATTTTTTGAAAATTTAATAATCATCAGTAATTAGTAAAATATTTTTATATAATTTTTTAATTTTGTTTTGATATATTTATTTATTTTTTATAATAATTTATCTTATAATAATACTCATATATAAAAATATTTATTAAAGAGTTATTTGAGAAAAATTTTGAAAAAAATATTTAAAAGGAAGTTATTATAGAAAATAAATTTTTTTTACAGATATTATTTATTTATAGATTCTTTATGGGCGGGGAAGTTTCATGGGAACTCTGCTACAGGAAATGGACTTGCACTCCTTAGTCAAAATTATATACGGTACAATTTACTGAGAAATAAGTATAGATAAATTTTATATTTAAGTACTTAATAAAATAAAAAAAATTAAATTAATTAAATTTATTATATAAGTTAAAATTAATTTATATATCTCAATTCATATAATTAATTAAATACACAATAATAATTAAGAGTATTTTATATTTTATAATTATTTAAGATGATTTTATCTAAAATATAAGAGTGAGATTATATAGTCATAAGATTATATTATTTGATTATATTAAATCACATATATCTTTATCATTTAACCTATTTATCTTATATATTTTTAAAGTCATTTATTATAGACAAATTATTATTATTTTTAATATATTGAGATTAATATTTTGAATGATAAATATATTATTTTGTAGGTTTACAAACCAAATCCATAAATTTGAAAAGATGTAAATTTTTTGTAAATTGATCCATATTAAGATGAGTAACTTCAAATCAATCCATCACAAGTTTAGAAAGTGGATGGGCTATATCTTAAGAGAATGTAACCAAATACATGATATATGTTTATTTTCATATAATTAAAATTTATAAAAAATAAATATTTAGCATATAAATAACTTTTTTTTTAATTTATTTTTTATTTTTAATTTATTATTTTTTATCACCGATATCCAAACATAGTCTTGGAGTCAGGCCGGATTACCGGAGGAAACGGGTGAGTAACGAGAAGCAGAAGGTTAGACTTGAACCTTGACTCCCAATAAATTATTGATTTGAAGAAAATAATTAGTAATCAGAATTAACAATTATCTCTAATCCTTAATTATCAATAAAATAAAATAAAATAATGACTCTGTTAATAGTTGAAGTGCTTGGTGGCTCCTTTTTTTAATTGATTTTTGTCTCGGCATTGAAAACTGTGATTCTGATTCTCTCTCCGACGCTGCAATCCGTGTCTCCTTCACCGCAATTCCTATTCTGATCGCACTCCCAGGTATCCCTATTCCCTTTTTCAATTCCCTCACCACTTTGCTCCTTTCGTCTATGAATTCAATTTCCAAAATCAACCCACGCTAGCATATGCATTCGTTTCCTTCCTAGGTCAGCCAAATTTCTTGTGCATTTCTTCGTTTCTCAAGAATTTTATCGATTTATTAGTTTTTAATTGATGAGGGAGAGGAGTAGCAAATTGATCAGGGTAGAGGAAAAGTAGAAACGCAGCTTCATCGCCAGGAAGGAATGACGGCAATAGAACTTTGCCCTTGAAGGTTTATGTAGTGTTGCCCTAGGCTTTGTAGTCAACTGTTGGTGGTGTTTGAAAATTTGAAGACCTTCTTGTTAAGGGCATTGAGGTTCTGATTTCCGCGCTTTGTTTTGGGTTTAGGAATGGGGGAATGGTTTATGGGGTTTGGTGGTTGATTTGTTTTGTTCGAACATGGTTGAGTTGTAGTAAACTAAAACGGGTTTGGAATGAGAGGAACAACGTGGTGTGTATCAATGTGACTGGGACTTCAGATGATTTGGATTAGTATAATTACGGTTCTTTTGCTGGTAAAGGCCTGGAAAAGTTTTGGGGATGTAGGTTCTGTTGCTTATGAAGATGGGGCAGAATTTGATGCTGCAGATAGGAAAAGGAAAATGAGGGCCGAACAAGTTTGAGGAAGAGAACAGGAAAGTGATGAGAGAATAGAAACTCAACTTCTTTTTATTTTATTCTTAGATACAATGACGGCAACATAAGACTTGTTAAGCCTCTAAAAAATATCTTCACAAAACTTAAATTTCTGTGAAATACAGCTTAAAATATTATCTTTTTAAGAACCTTTAATGTAAAAGTACTTGGTGCTAGACTGCTAGTCCTTTGTAGATATTTGTCTTATATTATATAGGGCCTGTTTGGATTTCTATAAGCACTTATAGAAAAAGAAAATAAGAAGGAAAAGTAATTTTTTTCCCCCATAAACTAATTTATAAAAGCTCTCTTATATTAACTTTTCCAAAAACTTCTTTTTAACTTAATGTATAAACAAATTTTAACTTATGGGATAGATTATTTCATTTTTTCTTCATATTCTCTCTCCAGTAAGTGTTTATAAAGAAGTTTATCTAAACAAATTCATACTATACTTCTCTTGGCCAAATATAACCAGTCTGTTGCTACATGAATGTTGAATATGGATGGGCAGATAGTGAAACCCTTTGCTACAAATCCCACACTCTCCAAAAATGTGTTGTACTCATATCCAGTACTGATATGTCTTTGATACTCCTAAACATGTATTCAAAGGTGTATCCTCTAATTTTCTTATACATATTTGAAAAAATTATTTTGACTGATACATATGGGATACATATTTCTCTATCCTTTCTTTTCTGTAAATAATAGAATTATACAGAGACATACTTCTTTTGAATAAGACTAATGATGCTTTTTATGACATTCTAAGTTTCTAACAAATTGGGGAAAAATTATGTAATTCTCGTATCATGTTGATAGGGGAGGAATATATTGTGATATGAACAACAAAATGATATGTAACTATGGACCTGTATGGGTGAACTTTTTCAAAAGTACTTATAGGAGAAGAAAGTAGAAAGGAAAAAATGAAATTAGTTTCTCCAAAATCTAATATTAGCTTATGCATAAGCTAACTTGTAGAAGCTTTCTCATATTGATTTTTTCAAAAACTTTTTTTAACTTATGAAAAGCTCATTTTAGTTTATGGAGAAGCTAATTTCAATTTTTTTCTTTCTATTTTCTTTTCCTATAAGTGTTTTTGGAGAATTTTATCCAAACAAGTCCTATGTTATATTGCTATTATTATTATTATTATTATTATTATTCTAGTGCTTTTTTGTTGTTGCAAATTGTGGTTATCATCTCTAATATGATCATGCATTAATGAGAAAAAATCTGTATGTCTTTATAGATATTGTGCATTTATGTAAAGTGTTTCTTTAAATTCATGTTAACATTTAGGTCCTTGAATTTATATGTTTCTGCTTTGTAATGTTTAGCAAATTCTTTTGAGATTACTGTTTTATGAATATATATGTATACCTTTTCTTTGCCATCTTTAATGGAATGAAGTCTTGTAAATTAACTTTCTTAGTATTCTAGATTTTAGTGGGGCAAGGGCTGTGGGTGATGATGAATTTGCAACAAATTGGGCAGCCTAAATCATCTAATGGATACGGTCGTTGGAAATCGGAGAAAGAAGGGGCAACTAAGTCTGATAATAAGATCCCCTCTGGAAAATCAAATGCCAGCAGCAGATTACCAAGTACAGGTAAACTTCAGACCTGACTTATTAACTATTTTCTATTTTACTTACTGCTTTGCTGATATTTATTATTACAGGTTTTGTGACTGACAACAAAGTTGGTAGTTATGGGACTCCTTCACATGATCGACTAGTATATTTAACAACATGCCTTATTGGGCAGCATGTGGAAGTCCAGGTGAAAAATGGATCTATATACTCTGGAATATTTCATGCAACAAATACTGACAAAGATTTTGGTATGTTCTGTTATGTTTGTGTTATCGATTGATGATATTGGAGACAATAATATTTTTTTGTATTGTTGTAGTGCTTAATAGATTCCAGCTTCTGGTTTTCATTATTATCTTTATAGATCATTTAAAAATTGACATTTTTTTTTACTCCTTATGTTATCATTACTGTACTTTTAGGAATCATTTTGAAAATGGCTCGCTTGACAAAGGAGGGCACTTTGCAAGGACAGAGATCTGGTGTAGAATTTGTCAGCAAAGCACCTTCTAAGACATTAATTATACCTGCCAATGACCTTGTACAAGTTATTGTGAAGGTTTGCCACTTTTCATTTATTTGCACTCTGCAGTGTACTGGGAAAATAGTGTTAGTAATTCCAGTTTAAGTTTTGCTATGTTTTCAAAAAGAAAGATGCTGTATAGTAATAAGTGGTGTTGGGAAACTTTTAGTTCAGGAATAGATTTAGTTGCATTGAACACACTGTCAATTTGTTTGTTGATGATATTTTTGATGTGGCATTTTGGCAGGATTTGGCTGTTTCCAGAGATGGTCTACCTAGTGAATCTCACTATGATATGCAGCACGAGATCATGGTTGATTCAGTAATATCTCAATCTCGTCATGTTGAGATAGGTAGAGAGTTACAGCGATGGGTGCCCGATGAAGATGATCCACAATGCCCTGAACTGGAAAATATCTTTGATGGCCCTTGGAATAGGTGGTTTTATATTTTTCTTATTATTCCAAAAGGAATTCTTTTTTGAATGATAGGATTTTTTCCAGTGGACCCCCCACATATTGCACAAGCTTTATAGCATTAGGCTGCATATTTTGAGAAATAGAATTGTTTCTTTTCTTGAAGTCTTGATGCCTGAATGCATGCTTACAAGTCTCCTTTGTTAATCTTTAACTTAGAAGTTGGCTGAGTGAACCTTTTATTGTTTACATTTAGAAGTTTGTTAAAAAGATAGGATGTAAGATGTTAATGGAGTAATGGTAGATGTCTCAATATCACTCTTTGAATTTTTATTTGAAGAAATCTTTCTCCTCCATTTTAAAATTATAAATATGGATACTGGGGATAATAGAAAATATTGAAAGTCAAGACCAAGAAAACATACCTCCCCTCGCCCGTATAATGGTGTATCATTGGTCATAGTGCAGTAGAATCACCTGTGGCAACATTCTGTATTTTTACCTATTTCTATTTTCTCCAGTCTAAAACCTGTTTACTTTCTAATCACACGTTTCTGGTTCATCTCTGTGACTTTTCGAAACTAGGTTTTTCATTAGGGACATTTCAGTTTGCTATGATTCGAAAATCTTTTTCCTTCTCTTTCTCAGTAATTTTTTTTCCTGAGTAATTACTTCAGTAAAACATGACTAATCTCTCTTTATAGGGCAGTATAATGATTATAGACTTAAGGATCACTGGACTAACATAATAGCTTGGATGAGATCTTCGCTGAAATCAGAAATGCCCTGTGGGATGTTCCTGTAACAAGTGAAGGAAAAGTAATAAATAATGAATTTTTGAATGATGAAGATGAACTTTGGAAGAGCTTAATAATTCCTTTGTTTATAAATGTTTCCTAGTTATTTTGTTTTTCTCTTTTTTTTACTTGGATGGCATTACTTTCATTTCTGCCATTTGTAGTTGAACTGTCCCTCCTTGAAGCCTTCTAATATTATGATTACTTGTCAAGAAAAAAAATTGGATCAGTTTTCTTGTTGTCCCTATCTTATGGAAATATTGAAAGGATATTGCTTGTGGAAATATTGAAAGGATATTGCAATAAAATCTGGTTATGAATTATTCTCACATAGCATAAAGGAAATAAGGGATTTTTTTGAAGGTCTTTAGTTATAAGATGAGGCTTAATTGAGTACATGACATTGTTACTACTAATATTTATATCCATTTCTTTTTCATTTGTTTATGCTGATTGCAATTCTTAACAGCTCCTCTGTTTTGTTTTATGTTGACAATTATTTTTGACTCTTTTTTGTATTTTTCTAGGGGATGGGATCAGTTTGAAACAAATGAGACATTGTTTGGTGTAAAAAGCACATTCAATGAGGAAATCTATACAACAAAGCTTGAAAAAGGGCCTAAGACAAGAGAGCTGGAAAAGCAAGCTTTAAAAATAGCTAGAGAAATTGAGGGTGAAGAAACCGAAGATCTACATCTGGCTGAGGTATGTGTGGTTTCAATGCCCTTTTTCTCCCTTATATTTAGGTTTAATTACTTATGTGGTAACTAAGCCTTTGCCCAAGGGTGGTTTTTTCTCCCTAATTTTTTTTAATTGGGTCCCTAAACTTAAAAGTAGGTCTCTAGGGTTATCTTTGGTGGCTTGAAACTGCCAAAAAATGACAATTGATGGTGGCTTTAAAAATACTAGGGACTCGATCAAAGAAATTACATGATCAAGGACCCATTTAATCTTTTTAGTTTAAGGTTTGTATTTGAAAATTTCCAAATAGTTTAGGGACCAATTGAGCATTTTAATTTTTTATTTGTCTATTTGAATTCCTCAAATTCTGTTTTTCTCAACAGGAAAGAGGCCTTTATCATAACTTTGATATTGATGAAGAAACCAGATTTTCTTCAGTCTATAGGGGTAAAGGTGTTGATGATATTGGTTATGATGAAAATGAGGACAAGCTGTTGGATTCGCACAATTCTGAAACATTTGGTAGTATTTATGATTTAGCCATTACGAGACCAGGTGAAGCAATTGGTCAAAAAGGCAATAACGGAACACAAACATGGTCAAATTTATCTTCTGCGGTACCTCCTCAACCAGTTATTTACTAAGTGTTGTATTTTAGCAAGTCTCAATCATTTGTTGCTTTGGATATCACTGGCTTGTCTTTCTTGTGACTGAATCATACCATAACGTGTTTAACTGTTTATGCATTACTGATCTTCAGTAAACAATTTCTTTTGGATGTGCTAGCATCTGGCATTTTTCAGATTCATAAGGGCGTCACAGTGTAGTATTGTCTCAATATTCTACAATTTTGTGATTCTGCAATTTTAAATTAATATTAGAGTATGAGTGTCATAATGGGAAGATGTGTGTTAGTTGTTTAGGAGGTTAATGATGTTGCTGGGTAAATGATATATGTGTCTTATAATAGTTATTTGAACTCTATTTTTACCCCTCCTGGACTTCAAATTACGAGTGAGACAACTGCCAGGTGATGGAGGAGGCCCATGGGCCAAAGGCCCAACTACTAGGGCTATGGCCAAGAGGATTCATGAAGAATGGGCCCATGCTCAAGAGAAGCCCATAGTACTCTTCAGTTGGGCTTTGACTCAAGCCCAAGTAGAATAGGGTGTAGTATAGGTTTGGGCCTTTGGGCTTGTACTGTATTTTGGGCCTTGTATTTCGGCCACCTAGGTTAGGAATTTTCATTTCATTGCCATGTGAATGTAGGGTTAATCTGGGTTAGCATGTGCGTGTTCATTTGCATGTAGTTAGTAGTTCATTTAGTATGCATTTCGGCCATGTGCACACATGCACAAGGTGTGACTGAAATGATGCTTAAATGAGTATCAAATTACATCCAAATGAGAGGCGCACATGGAGGTGACCGGTTTGGTACCAAAATTTGAATTTAAACATTCAAATTTTGACGCCTAAGGTTAGTTAAACCATGGTATGGTTTAACTTAACCTTGGGTCAAGCCAAACTTGCTCACTACACTAGCTTCCCTATATATTCACTTTGGCCGGATATTGTAGCCACTTTTGGATATTATATGAGAATTTTCTTCTTGTGCAAATTCTCCACCGAAAGTCACTCAAAGATCCTCTCCTCTTCTCTACTTGAGCTCCTCTCTTTGTAGAGTTAGGATCACCAATCTTCTAACCGGAATTGGAAGATTAACCTTGGCTACTCTTACTCCTTTTCTTAGCTTCAAGTCCTTGTATCCATCTCAAGGATCCGAGAAGGAGTTTTCTTGTGAAGCATCATGGAGTTTTCACCATTGAAGATTCCATCACCAGGCATTTGCTTCAGTGCTTTCAGTTCACAGTTTTATTTTTTTTTTTGTTTAATTACCATGTTGGTTCTTGTAGTTTCATGAATTTTATCTTTTAGTTCCTATAATTAAAAATATTTCATTTTAGTCCTTATACATACAACTTTTGTTTCCTTTTAATCTCCGTAGTTGCATAAACTTAACCTTTCAGCCCCTATAGAAATAAACGATAGGACTAAAAGAGACAAAAAGAATGGTATTTATAAAGACTAAACTGGAATGTTTTTAACTATAATGACTGAAAGGTAATGCTTGTGAAAGTATAAGGATCAAAAGAGTAATTAAACCATTTTTTTTAATGTTCTGAAACCCATGAACTCTGTTTGTTCTGGGCCTTCATTTGAAATTTAACCTCTGATCCTGTTATCTTTCTACTCCTTTTCTCTTCCTTTCCATAATCACTATCATATGTAGATTTTAGTAATACAATGCAATAACTATGAAGTAAATTCCTAACTTCTTACTTGATGTTTAGTGGTATCATTACCTTTTTTAATTATTTATATTATTGCATTTTCTATGTTAAAATATCCTTTTATATTTTCAATACTCTCTATATTTCGATCACATGATTGATAATATTTCATCCCCACCCCACCCCTTAGGATCTTGGTTTTGACAAACTTCTATAAATCAATTATTTCTAAACCAATTATCAAATTTTCCTTTTTGTCCATGCTTTTGCTTTCTCCCCCTCCTTCCTTATAAAGTAATCACTTTATTTCCTAAATTCAGCTTAGTATTTTATGCTACTTTCATGCACAGGATTACTCTCAGTCAGGTACTGGTGTGGAATTATGTCGCTCTGGTTCTAATGATCATGCCAAGCAGATAGCATATGAACTCCCTGCCCAGAGTTGCTCATTTTCAGAAAGCAGGTATTTGTTTATTTATTTATTTGTATATAATTACTTATTTCATTGCAATTATTTGCATTCCCTTGCCCAAGGGTGGCTTTTGCAGCATAAAAACATAATTATCAACATTATCATTCATTCTCAAATCGACCGACAGGATTCAGGAGAACTCAGTTAATGATCTACATGGAGCAATTGATAATACAGTGGAAGAAGATTGGATAGTAAGTTGATATTACAGAGTTACAACTCACATATCTGCTCAAATTTCTCATGAGATTGCTATAATGTAATAATCTTAAATCTCATTTTTCTCTTTTTGTTTTATCTTTCATTGTTAATTGATGCAGCAAACTGGGGATGTCCAGCTGTCAAAATCTGAGGGTATGTGGTGTTTCTTTCTCATCTTAGTGAATTGATTAGATCTAAAGCATTGTGCTTGAAACTAATATTGATGGAAACTATACCAAAGCCATTTAAGTGATTATTCTGTTTATTATAAATGAAGTATTGAAGCTTTCTGTCAGTACTTGGTGGTACTTTCTGAATGGAGGCTCTTGCCTTCAGTTGAAATTTCATTTCAGTGATTGATTCCTTTATTATGTACTAGTAGGATATAAGGCACTCACTGCCTTTGAGAGAATAGGAGTTTTTTTAACAGTTAATTAATAAGTAATTTCTTTATAGTTATATATATATATATATATATATATATATATATATATTTTAA